GTAATGGCCAGAGATGTCGATCGGTTCGACCTAAAACCGTATTGGCAACCAGAGAGGATTTTATGTTTGTCAATAAATGTGTCTAATCTGTTATTAAAGAGTTTTTGAAAATTGTGACAACAGAGAAACCGTTCTATAATTTGTGAAGTTGTGCTTATCACCAGATTTATACAGTGGAATCACCTTTGCTATTTTCATATTATTGGGGAACTGCCCAAGTTGAAACGACATGTTAAAAATATGGGTTAATGGTTTGCATATCCCCTCAATTACCCATTTAACAGTTGTCATAGTGATACCATCACTATCACTAGATGTTTTGTTATCACATTTATTCACTATCTCTATAATTTCCTTTTCAACTATGGGCTTCAAAAACATAGAACTCATGTTCCTTTCGATTGTATTATTATTTATAGTGACAGATGTATCATCTGTACAAATGCTTCTTGCTAAACCAGGACCAACATTCACAAAGAACCTATTAAACTTATCAACTACATCCTCAAATCTATTGACCGGTGTGTCATTATCCATAAAATATTAAGGGTAGTTACTCATGCTGGTACTGTTTCTAATCAGTTTATTTAATATATTCCAAGTACCTCTCATGTTATTTTTATTATCCTCTAATACTTTAGAGTAATATAGTTTCTTACATCTCCTCAAAATCTCAATTAATTTGTTCTTATATGACTTATATTTTTCTTCCGCCTTCTTTGATCTGTCCTTTATGAATTCCTTATATAACGCATTCTTCTTTTTACATGCATTCTGTAATCCCTTACTCATCCACGGTTTCCCACTGTAATTCCTTTTGTTTTTATACTGCTTACGAGGACAGTTCCTGTCATATACTTTCTTGAATATATTTAAAAATTGCTCATATGCTTTATCTAAGTCTTCCTCTCTGTAAACTGATTCCCAGTTTTGCCCCATAAAATCCTCTTTTAGCCTCCTTACAGCCTCCTAATGCTGATTATCTCACTTGTTCTCATTAAAATGTTAAACTGCCATTCAGATCGCTTTGGTAAGGTGCTTCTCTCCAGCAGGCAGAGTATAAAATTTGGATGAATGTCAACTTTGTGTATTCAGATGTCATCAGTGAAGAGTGGAGCCGGTGCCAGGTGGACATCAGCTGCTCCACAAGCCTGGTGCATATGAACATCTCATAATGCTGCCTCCTCCTTCTCCATATTAACATTTTTATCTGCGTATATGCACAGCAGCGGCCATCTGTAATACTGCTTTTGGAAGGTTTACAATATTGTACACAGTGTTGCAGTCACCACCCAACGGGCATTCATTCACTGTTAGGGCTCCTAAGTGTGCACAAGCAGAAGTGTGCATCTAATATATAAAGTATAATCACCTTTATTGGCCATGTATGTTACACACAAGGAATTTGTTTCTGGTACAGAACCGATGGCAGCCATCTGCAGCGCCAACTGAACTGATGGCTCTAACCATTTGGGGCAACGGGGGGGTTCAGTGTCTTGCCCAAGGACACTTCGACATGTGGACTGCAGGCACTGATATTTGAACCTTTAACCTTCCGGCTGAGAGGACTGCTCCGCCTACTGCTCAATATACAGGTTTTGTGAGGCAAGGTGTTTGGCCAGTAAGTGACCACAAGATAGTTTTGGTAACATGTCCCTAAAGATTCTCAGCCAATGAGCTTTATTTGCCAGGTGTGACGGACACACGAGGATTTTGACTCAGGTATATCGGCTTTCAGTATGCAAACAGTAAACCAGCATAAGACAGTGTAATATAACAAAATAAGCAGCATTAACAGCAATATTGACAGCAACAAGTGCAGTGCAAGCAATGCAGAATAAGCAGTATAAACAGACAGTAAACAATGCAGACAACAAGGAATGTTCATTGAAATGAGATAAATAGGGATAAAAACAGAGTACCAAAAAATTAGAGACCTCTATGACTCTGTATAATCTGTACAATGTATATATACACAGGTATTGCACTGAAGGTTATTGTCCAATCATACAAGCATGGGTTAAGTGTTCATCAGACAGCCTGGGGGAAGAAACTGGCTGGTTGTCTTGGTGCACAGTGACCTGTAACACCGTCCAGAGGGGAGGAGTTCAAACAGATTGTGTCCAGGGTGTGAGGGGTCTGCAGTGATCCTCTCCGCCCTCCTTTTGACCCGTGCGGTGTACAGGTCCTCCATG